TAAAAATTATGGAAAATTTCTATACTCCCTTACTCCTACAAAACAGAAAAACATAAGGATGCTAGAAAAACTAAATAAAAATTGAATTAAATCTTCCTTGTCTGCTGTAGTTAATGAAAGATGCTAAAAGTAAGATTGCTGCCCATTATATATATATATATATATATATGACAGACTGACTGACTGAGGCTTATGTATTTGCATGCATAATTTTCACAGAGCATACATATAACACTGGCCCTATGCAAAGAGCATAGATCCTCTTAGCCAAGGTAGAAATGACAATCCATACTTTAAAAAAATCCCATCATTTTTTTTTTATAGGTATATTACAGGATTATAGAGTTAGTATTAGTAATCCATGGCATTTGGGTAAATATTAGCCTATTATTAGATGTATCAACTTCACTTATTAAACCCAGGAGATATCGTTTTCAGATATTTTTTGTATGGAGTTGAAAAAAGTGGGGCATATGCCATGAATATGATCAATATTACATTTCTCTTGTCAAGCAAAGAATATGGAAACAAAATTTACTTGTCAATAGCTAAAATCAAAAGCCTACCCCCATCTAAGCTGGAATAGTACATTTTTTAAAGATCTTTGATTCAATACTAAAATTATGCTTAAAGGTTTTTCATTCTTAATTGATACTTTATTATTATGTTTTACAGTTTGTAAAATGTCCTTGAATCACAAAGAAAGGAAGAGCAGAGGGAAAGAGTGAGTACTGAATAATCTGAGAGAGAGAGAGAGTTATGTGAAAGAAAGGGATAAGGAAGTAAAAAGAGAGAAAAAAAGATAGGGAGAGGTCCCTAGGCTCTTCAATAGAAACACGTCTTGGATTTTGATGGATGGTAGCTTTGAGAAAAAAAATAAAAAAAATATTACAATTATTGTTGATTTGCTGGCTCCCAGTGCTTTCAGACTCCAGAAAGTTGGAACTGAGGGACAGTACCCAGATACTACTGCACTAAGAAGAAACGATACAGGAGCCTTCCCTGATGTTTGCAGCAATAGCCAAGGGAACAGAGCAATTTTTGTATAACCCACCATGGGACATTGAAACATGTGCTGAGTGTCCCACATTAGAAAAAGAAAAATATCTTGTCATATTTATCCTTGTGAAGATTCATATAAGACTTTCCCAACTTTCAAAAAATATCTCCTGGGTTTTCTATGTAAAGTTGAGGTATCTGATTGGCTAGACACTGTACACTAGTAGTGTTTATACTTGGCCTCACTCTATAATAAACGTAAAAGAAGAGATCTTATGTGCAAAGTTAAGGCATCTGATTGGCTAATGTTTCACTAGACACTATACACTGGTAATATTTGTACTTGGCCTCACTGATTGATCTATTATGGCTTATCAACCTTTTGCAGGTTATTTAAAGACAGAAAATATTTCTAGATTGTAAGGATATTTTGGAGATTATAGCGATTTTTAGCAATACCAGTTATGTTAATTAACCCATAGCTGGGGGGAGAAGAGGTGGATTCATACATTTCCTAAGGGTATTTGTGCATAAGTGAATATAACAATTGGAATTGGAACACGGCTTTCTGATTTCCAATTCAAAGCCATTATCCATTTCATCACACCCACAGCACCTGGTATGCCCAAGTGGTCACCCATTTAGATACTGACCAGCTAACCTCATATATATATATATATATATATATATATATATATATATATATATATATATATATATATAGATTTGAATCATCAAAGCTGAGTAAACATATCACTGGGTATAGCTCATCTCAAATCAAGCAATGCCCACAGGTGACCCTTTCAGAAATATCTGGGAAAATTCACAGGTGTTCCTTGTTCAAATTTATTGAAAAATCCCAAATATTGGATCTGTATATTTAATAATTTGAAAATCAGAGCCTCTTGAAATTCACAGCATTTTTGGCATTTTGATAAGGCTTTCGATAAATATCTGACATTCATAGCTCGAAGAATATGACATGTAAAGATTTGAAATTTGGCATTAATATTTATTGTAGATTACAAAACTATAAACAACTTAAGTGCATCTTATGTAATTTTATTTTTTATAAGGACATGAAAATCACCAAAATGCAAAAAGATGCCATCCACTTTAAGTCTTTAATTTAAATTTTTTTTTTTTTTTACAATGATGCCTAAGAGCCACTTGAGGCAGAGGGCTACAGAATAAGGACACAGTTTATAGGGATATGTGATGAAGATAATAGTTAACCCTAGACTTGAACAAGTTAAGATTGTAGTGACTGAGGAAGCATCCTCTTGGGAGTTGGTTCCACAAAGCAGCGGTTTGTAAGTGGAACTTAAACCTATGGAATAAAAAGGGAATGAAGGTGGTCTACTACAATGTGCATAGCTGTGAAGATTAGAACTGGTGTAACTGAGGGACATAGTTCGTCTGAACAGCTTCCATAGAAATAGCGATAGAGCTGTGAGAGACTTAAAAAGTTTCATCTGTGGGGAAAGAGGTCATATTTATAAAGTATGTCAGAGTATCCAAATTAGTTTCCCTGCCATTTAGGGCCGAATAGGCTATTTCTATATAGTAAACATTCATTCCTCTTATAGGAATGTCAGTATAACTGTTTGAAATATATTCATGATTGATAGAAAAGAAGTTTTATTTTTTTGGTTGTTTTTGTTGATTCTCATGCTGAATTGTTGGCACAGAATTGTCAGCATTCCATCACAATTTAGATCCAGTTAATTTTTGTTTTAATATAACCATTTTTTTTCTTTTTTTTTTTTTTTTTTACTAATGTTACCCAATACAAGGCCTAAGGGCCACTCAAGGTAGAAGGTTACTGTATGGAGTTGTATTAGCATAAAAAAGGGACAAGATAACAGGAAAGATATAAAGTTAATTCTAGACTTGAAGAGGTCAAGATTTAATTAATGAATAAAATTTCAGAGTTCAGGCAGAGATGTTAGGAGTATAGAGTTGAAGTAGATTTTAGAAGGGACTGGGAAGCCAGTCTTAACTGTAAGCAAATGATGAACCTCTACTACTGTTCAAAAGATCAAGGAGGAGTGTGAACCAGCTATTCTATCTAGTCCTATTGCAAAAGGGGGAAAAAAAAAAAATTGCTGAATAAAATTTCAGATTTCAGGAGGAGATGTCAGGAGTATAGAGTTGAAAGAACTGGAAACCCAATCCTAAACAGGAAACAAGGGATAAACCTCTGCTCCTGTTCAAAAAAACAAATTGGGGGGGGGGAGTATGAACTGGCTGATAGACAAGCCTACCTACTTATAATGGGAAGGAAGAAAAAATAATTAGTGAAAAAAAATTCAGAGTTCAGGCAGAGATGTTAAAAGCATAGAGTTGAAGTAGACTTTAGAAGAAACCTGAAATCTAATCCTAAACAGGGAACGTATAGCTGGTAATATTATTTTTCAAAAACATAGCCAGCAACACTATTCTTTCAAAAAAAAAAAAAAAAAAAAAAAAAAAATGTATAGCTGGTAATATTTTTTCAATAAAAACGTACAGTTGGCAACATTATTTTTTCAAAAATGTATTATCAGAGGTCTTGCTGTTGGACGTAATTTATTGTCATACACAGGACGTGGATGTAGTTTACCGTCATACCCAGCATGAAATCTGGGTTTGGGGATGCTGTTGGACATAGTTTATCGTCTTATCCAGGATAGGGATGTAGATTATCGTCATACCCAGGACGTGGATATAGTCTGGGTGTTAACTATTTACCCATAGCTGGGACCCTAACAGGTGCTACCACCCCGGGTCAGGGTGGACCTGGGAACACCAGCAATTAAGAGGGGGTTCCATGCTCCTCAAAACCTCCTGATCAGAGGCCTTGCTGTTGGATGTTGATGATTGGATCATCTTACCCAGGATGGAGAACAATAAGTGAAGAGGAATTAAGACAAAAGATAATGATTGATATTGCATTTAAATTTTTGAAGATCAAATTTGACTGGAAAGCATGAAGCCAGAATAGAGTTCCACAAACAAGAGTTGTGAGAGAAGAAACTGTTAGTATAGAACTTATGGTTACAATAGGCATTACAACTGTAAGATGATGAGACCTTTCACCATTTCTATACTGTCAGATATTTTGTCTAATATGTTATAGTCCTGAGAAGAAGGGGAGCGATAAATGAAAAAGAGAAAGTTAACAGAGTGTAATAAAGAAAGTCAAAAGAACATGAAAGAATCACTTGTAGTGGCCGTGTTTGATATTCAAGCCTACATAAAAAACAGCATTCTGAATGTTGATTTCTAATGTGGGCAGACCCACCGGATTTGATCTTGTGCTGTATTGATTACCATAAAAATATTCACAATATTTGACTAGTGAATAATTCTCAGCCTGGCCCACTTACCAAAAACGAGTATTCTCATCATGTTTGGTTATTAAAATATTGATTTTGGGAAGTGAGTCAAACTGAGAACTTTTCAGTAGTCACTTTATACTAATCACTTTAAGTTGGATAACATCTATTGAGCAATAGTCAGTAAACTATCTCCAACCATTTGATCTTATGCCATACTCTTTAATAAATCTAACATTATCAATACAGATTTGTTTCATTATTTTTCTATACTTAAATTCCATTTTATTTGTGTGTGTGTCAGTGAGAGAAAGAGTGATACAGACAGACAGAGTGCAGCTAGAGATGTTTATTTTCTTTTGCTTCTGGATGCCATGATAGTCTGAATCTATGTCCTTGGTTGTGTCAGTGTGCAGCACTGCAAACAAAATGCACTTGCTTGGCTGGCGGCAGCAGTAGTAGAGGTGGTCCTTGTTTTTGTTATTGCAATGGCTGCTGTTGCTGCCAGATCCGACATTTGCTGAAGATAACGATCTTACCCGTGGATGGGAAAAGAGTATAGTATGGGTGGGACAGCAGGGAACTGGGTAGAAGAACGTGTCTATGTTGCTAACAATTTATATTTCATTGGGAATTGAATGAAATTGGCTGAGGTGGTTGCAAGGGGACAGGATAACATAACTAAAGCAGTAGTAAGGGGAGAGAATAGGAAAGGGGAGAGAGGGAAAGGGGGAGAGAGGGAGGGAAAGGGGGAGAGAGGGAGGGAAAGGGGGAGAGGGGAGGAAAGGGGAGAGAGGGAGGAAAAGGGGAGAGAGGGAGGGAAAGGGGGAGAGAGGGAGGGAAGGGGAGAGAGGGAGGGAAAGGGGAGAGAGGGAGGAAAGGGGGAGAGAGGGAGGGAAAGGGGAGAGAGAGAGAATAGGAAAGGGGGAGGGAAAAGATAAATGAGGAGGGGAGGAGAGAAGGGAGATAAGCGGAGATGGGAGGAGAGAAGGGAGTTAAGCGGAGATGGGAGGAGAGAAGGGAGAGAAGGGAGATAAGCGGAGAGAAGGGAGATAAGCGGAGATGGGAGGAGAGAAGGGAGATAAGCGGAGATGGGAGGAGAGAAGGGAGATAAGCGGAGATGGGAGGGGAGGAAAGAGAGAGAAAAGAAGCTGAAAAAGATAGAAAAGGGACAGAAAGGATGTAAAATAAGCAAATAATAATAATAATAAAAATAAATATTAGGATCTGGGGATGAGAATGGAAAAAGAATGAAGTTCCAAGAGTTAGAAAAATAACAAAAAAACATTGAAAACACATGGAAAGTAGACAAGAAGAAATAAAGTGAAAAAATGAATGAGGAAAACAAAAAGGAAAATTGGGAGAAAATAATTGGTCATCAATTAAAACAAATGAAAGAGGAAGGAGTCGGTATTTGAAAGGGAGTAAAAAAAAAAAAAAAAAATGACTTTGCTCTACCAGAGAAGAGAAAGGAAGGGGAAGGAGGAAATAGAAGGAAGGAGAGAGCGAGAGGTGAGCAAGGAAATAATAATGAATCAAGCTATAAAAATAATGACAAAATTGAAGACAAGAATAACCCACAATAATGTAATATGATGGAAGCTCCCCTCCCAATCTAAACCTGATCTCAATAGCAGTAAGAAAGGTATAAATCACAAATGCTTTATGCTAGTCATCTTCAGGTGATGATTTAAAAATAAAACTTCATTACTTTGTCTTACACAGTGAATGATTGGCTAGGTCAATAGCTGCTTAGTATTGAAGGTAGCCAAGTATCTTTTCCATTTAGTAGAAAGAACAACTCCAGCTCTTGAGTGAAAGTCACCTTATTCACACACAAATACATGTGGAGGGGGGGTGACCAGATGTAAGGGTCATAGAAATTATCTGACAGCCATGACTGGTTTCTTCTGCTTGGGTGGCATAGTGCAGAGTCCTGTTGCCAGACATAGGGTCTTCAAGCAACCACCCTTTTGATCCAGAGCAGCACTACTTCCTCAAGGCACTTGATGTCCTCTGTGTTGAGTCTGTGGCCCTGTGAGAAGATGAATGGAGGCATAACATTGCCATCGCTTCAAACACCATGATGTTGACTGGAGAGATCATCTAACTCTTTCCAAATCCTCTGCACTGTTCTCAGACAGCCAAACACACTGAAATATTCATATTGGAGCTTCTGGCATGAATGCCAAGCAGTACATCATGCCATTTCCAAGTTTCTGGCAGAGTGAATTGTGTCATAGTGCTCTTTTTCTAACAGACAGTGCCCAACTGACCCTACTATAATGTGCAGTCGACAAAATCAAAAAGTAGTTATTTGAAAATTATACATAGAACAACCACAGGAAAGAAAATTCAAATTAACAGCAGAAATCAATTTTAAAATATATTAAACAGTGAGCCATTTTTGAAGAGATATGAGAGTAAATAAAACCCATCATTCCAAGCAAGGAAAGCAAATTCTTGAAGACTTGATTCCATTTTTGCTAACATAGTTGTTTTTTTTATCATTGCTGAATTTATGATATCCTAATCAGTACTATTATAATGTGACCTTTTGTTAATATTTGAAAGATGTTTGAAAGCACTCACCTTATCCTACCCTTAAAATACACCCCAACCTTTTTTATTTTATTTTTCAAGACTGGCCCATATAACCTGTATGGTTGATTTGACTGCAGGCAAATTCTATTATACTTTGTTCCCATACTAGACACTCACCAAAACAATTGTCTACTACAGAGTACAATGCATGGGAAAAAGAACAAAAAAAGATAAAATCTTGGCATTTACTGGTTACTACCTACCCCACCAATACTCCTACACATGTCACCATATGTATGAATAGAAGGTGTTGTTAAGTAATCCACATAACTTTCTCACAAAACCCACTTGTTGAAATTTGTAAACATTTTTAAGTAAAGCTTTCACAGCTCATATGTGCATATGAATGCTTACCTCATTGCAAAAAATATTTTTGCAAATGTCTATGCATTTATTTATACACTGCAAGTTAACTACATTAAAAGGTAAGTAAATTAATTTTTTTTTTCTTTTACGGTAAGATTCACCCTGTACAAGACCAGGGGCCACTCAAGGTAGAGGGTTACATTATGGATAGGAGGGGAAGAAAATATTAACTTTAGACTTGAACAGGTTAAGATTGTAGAGTCAGTTCCACAGAATAGTAGTTCATGGGAAGAAGCTGTTTGAGTGGAACTTACTACTTGCTGATGGAATACAGAGGGAATGTGGATGGTTTGCTACCATATAAGTGGCATGGCAGGTCTTAGCTGTGAATGTTAGACCTGGCAGAACCAAGGAATGGAGTTCATCTGAGCACTTTCCATGGCAGAAACGATAGAGCAGTGAGAGACTCGTCACATCCTACCTGTGAGAGAGTGGTTGGAGGATGGAAAATAATTCTTCTCCAGCAAAGGCTTGGAGGTGCTTTTGAACTCTATTGAGACTGGAAAGTGAGGTCTGAGCAGCTCCCGCCCAAATAAGACAACAGTACACCATTTTGGGCCTGATCTGGCTCTTAGTAGAGGATAACATGAGGAGTCAGGTACTTACTGGAGTTTGTACAGGGATCCAATCATTTTACCTGCATCTTTAGTGATGGATTGTATATAGGAATTCTACTTGAGGTTGGTTGTGAGTTTGAGGCCCAATGTCCTCTCAAGGCACAGAGTCTTCTCATCCATTCATCCTGATTGGCAGTAATTTGAAGTCTTATTGGCACTCATGGAATGTAAACAGTTTGATTTTCGAGGCATTGAATGTAACCAGTCAGTTTTTTCCTGACTGGGAAGTTAGTGAGAGATCAGTTGCCAATCTCTGCCCAGTTTTTTTGAGGTGCACCCGTATATTGTTACATCATCAGCATAAATATTTAGAAATGATTGGAGTATCTCCAGAATTTTTAACAAAGTTTGAAAATTCCACCTCTTACTATACACACTGCAGGAATAAATACATGCATATGATAGTATAATTTTTATAGCTTTAAGGTCATAGGTTTTCTTTAACTTTAAATCTAAAAGTAAATTAAAAAGGTTGGGTAATTCACAGAAAATAAAAAAAAATTAAAATTTTGTTGGGGTATTTAAGAATACAGAGAATTAAATGAAGAAATGTTAAAATATTAATTAAAGAAACATTCCTCAGGCAGTAGAATGAGAACAGTCTGCCCCCATTGATTAAATAAAGGGTTCAGTTTGAAATTCTCTGTAGGTTTCCTGGATCAATATTGTAGTGAACTATTACAGAGGGCAAAGTGGCCCAGGGTTGCAGGTATTTTTTGCAATGCTAGAATAAACACAAGAATAAAATAACTTACCTCCAGCACAAGCAAAGATTCGAATGTGCCTCGCGCTGTAAACTGTTCAACGGAGAAAGAAATGGCAGCTTTATGGGCCACATATTTAAAATAGTTAGATCTCAGGGTAAGATAATCTTGTGTGAGAGTATCTTTCTTTGTGTATATGCAAATTTTGGCTGTCAATGATAGATAAAAATGGAAAGAATGGAGTGACAGGTGAAAGGCAGGAAAAAAAGATGGTTGACTTGTGTTGAATTGGATACAAGTGTCGTAGATGAGAGAAGAAATTGATTGCTACAATAAGTTTAAAGAATTTTCTTGCTACAGATATACACCTGATGATAGACAGAGGGCACAACAGTTAAAATGTTGATAACAACAAAGATGGAAACAATAGTCCAATGTAAATAGAGTTAAAAAAAAAAAAAAAAAAACAAAAAAAAAACAATCATTTAGTGTTTATGCCATATTTTTAATAGCATGTCTATTTAGGATGTAGGTGATCATAACTTTTTGTTTCTGTATTATTTGTGAACAAGGTCACAAAACCGTTAAAGCTGCTGTGTATGGAGATGACTTCATTACAGACAGAATGGCACAGAAATGGTTTCCCTCTTTTTCAAGTAGGGGAAGTTCAAACTCACAGACGCATTTTGGCTGACCTGTTCAGTTTGATGAGAACTCACTGCCTGTGCTGATTAAAAAAGAACTGTGCCAGACCACGAGGGAATTGGTTCAGAAGATGGCAAGCTCTCATATTACTGTTTTTAGTCCTCTTCACTCAATGGGGAATCCCAGGAACATGGTACATTGGTACCACACACATTGAGAATGCTCATCCATAGCCACCAGTTTACTTACTTGACACCAGAGGCAGCTACTTGTGGACACAAAGAAAGAGCTTGGTTGGGAAGTTCTATCACCTTTTTGTTGTTTTCTAACAATATGAGGGATGTTTCATTCAAAAAACATGAATTTTTAGCATCAAAACCGAATGATTTCTATTGTTGAGGCATTGAACAGTTAGTGGATCTTTGGCAAGGATGTCACAATCAATAAAGAGGAATACATTGTTGAAGGATTCACCAGAGCTATTAATAAATAATAAATCTATAATAATAAAGTGCAGTGTATATGTGTCCGTTTGTCCATTTTTTGATCTTTTGGTAAATGTAGTTACACGTGATTAAAAATTAAATAAACAACTAATTTAAAGTTAACTTAAAATATTGAACAGAATAAAAGGTTTAGAAAAAAAAAAAAAAAAAAAAAAGAAGACATTTTTTTATTAAAGGTTTAACTTTAATTTTGCTTTTCATTGCAACTGATATCACCTAATTAGACATTAATTTAAACTTAAGCGGAACATAGTATCTTGCTTATATGTTTTTCTTTTCTTTTGCTAGCATGCGTACTGTGACATATTTGAAATATTACATATTTCAGGTTCCCTAATTTCTTAAGAGTGACTTTATGTGAAGGGATCATAAAGAATGGTGATTTTAAAAAAGAAGAATTGCACGCAAAATAAATGTAAACAAACTATGGAGATTATGCTAAACTAAGAAAGATTATGCCGAATTAAGGTGTTGAATAAAGATATAAGAATTTTATTATTTCTAAATTCTTATAACTTTTACATACATAGGATACTGAAGGTAAAAGCTCTCAGCAGGAGCTAGCCTAAAGTTCACCCAAAGGGTGGCTTCTAGGCTAGAATTAAAATAAATTATAAAAAAAAATTATGTAACAACCTAATATATTTGTGATTTTGAAGGCTTATTCCATGGATGGAGTGAGTAAGCAACAAAGAAGTCTTAAAGAAAA